AAACAACTCTAAAGTCAAACTTGTACCAGTAAATTGAAGTACTCTGGGGTTAACTGTTAGACATGAAAAGGGTTTAATAACCTCCCCTGATGATTCAGTATCAGCTGAGAAGAGTTTACCGCAGAGAAGCACGACAATGGGAACAGTGTCACGACACTTCCCCCTCCATTACTCACACTGCTTTGAAACCTTATTAAAATTGGTGCATTGTGAAAGCTCTATTTATTCCAGTTATTCTGGCAAAAATCCCCTTGGTAGGTGGCAAGGGCACCTTCAGCTTTTTTTCAACCTTCAGCAATCAGTACCCTGATTTCGCTTTCACCTCAAAAATCAGAACTGCTTATGTTTTCTTCAGTGCCTCCTGTGCAGGGCAAATTTTGTGCATAAATACATATATATTATAGTACACATACATGTATGTGTATGTGTGCACACATATACGTAGATTTATATACAATACACACATGTATATGTACATATACATATGTGTATACATATATTCATATATTTTGTCTTAAGAAACTGAGGGCCTATACAGCAGATTTTCCTTTTGCCTGCCTTTTCTGATATATTTTTTTTAAAGTTTATTTACTTTGAGAGAGAGAGAGAGCACGAGTGCATGCGCACCCAAGCAAGAGGGGGAAGGGCAGAGAGAGGGAGAGAGAGAGAGAATCCCCAGCAGGCTCTGCACTGTCAGCAAAGAGACTGATGAAGGGTTCGAACCCATGAACCACGAGATCATGACCTGGGCCAAAACCAAGAGTCAGATGTTTAACCAACTGGGCCAGCCCAGGCGCCCCTCGTGATCCTTTAAAAATCACTGAGGGGCACCTGGCTGGCTCAGTTGCTGGGGCATGTGACTCTTGACCTTGGGGTTGTGTGTTTGAGCCCCATGTTGGGTGTAAACATTATTTAAAAATAAAAATCTTTAGGGGCGCCTGGGTGGCGCAGTCGGTTAAGCGTCCGACTTCAGCCAGGTCACAATCTCGCGGTCCGTGAGTTCGAGCCCCGCGTCGGGCTCTGGGCTGATGGCTCAGAGCCTGGAGCCTGTTTCCGATTCTGTGTCTCCCTCTCTCTCTGCCCCTCGCCCGTTCATGCTCTGTCTCTCTCTGTCCCAAAAATAAATAAACGTTGAAAAAAAATTTTTTTTTAAATAAAAAAATAAAAATAAAAATCTTTAAAAAATAAGAAATAAAAAATAAAAATCACTGAATTACTGCCTCGTAGGCTTGTCCTTCATAAACTTTTAAATGTAATCATATGTATAAGATCTGGTTCATAAGCTGAGTGGATTTGCTGCAGTCGTTGTGACCATTTTATGTTCCCCTATTTGATATTTTTACTTCATTCTCCTGGTTCTTAAGACTTCACGGTAAAAATGCTCTTTGCGGAGTTTCTTAATCCATCAATTTTGGTTACCTCTTGTTTTTTAACAGTACAGAAATGTATTATTTTACATAACGAGAAGTCCAGAGGTGGGGCGGTTCTGGAGTTGGTTAATTTGGTGGCTCAATGTTGTCAAGGACACAGATTCTTTCCATTTGTTCTCTGGCCATCCCAACTGAATTGGCTTTTGTCCCCCAGCCTGTCCCTTCCCAGTCTCCTCTTTAACTTCTCTTCCTGATTATTCTTGTTTCTTTTTCTGGTTTCCTTACCTACAGGAGTTTTGCCTCAGGAGATCTGAGGCTTTGCAGGTCTAGGCTAACCTCTCCCATTTCTCCAGAAGGGTACCTGATCTGACTCCAGCTGGCATAGCTCTGTGTCCCAGGGCCCCTCTCCTAGCCTAGTGTTGAGAATTAATTTGCACCTTGAATTAAAAACCATAAGTAGGGGCGCCTGAGTGGCTCAGTCTGTTGAGGGTCTGACTATTGACTTTGCCTTAGGTCATGATCTCACGGTTTGTGGAATCAAGCCCCAAATCAGGCTCTGCACTGAGTGTGGATCCTGCCTGGGATTCTCTCTCTCTCTTTCTCGCTCTTCCTCTGCCCTCTCCCCCTCTTGTGCTTTCCCTCTCTCCCTAAAAAAAATAAACTAAATAAATAAAAAATAAAATAAAATAAAATAAAATAAAATAAAATAAAATAAAATAAAATAAAAACCATAAGCAGCTCAGGGGTGGGATTCATTGCTTCTTCCTCATTCCCTCTGCACACCATTCCCCTGGTTCTCTGGGTGTCCAGCAGACCCTGCTCCTTCTCCTCTGGCCTAGAAATCTCCCCAAGTTTCAGACCAGCCTCCCCCAGAATAGTCCCCCCCCACCTGTGAAAGTCACCCATTCTGTGGCTTCCCCTTCACTTCTCTGTAAGTGACTTTCATTACCTTACATAGGAAGAGAATCAGGGGTGCCTGGGTGGCTCAGTGGGTTAAGCATCCAACTTCAGCTCAGGTCATGATCTCATGGTTCGTGAGCTCGAGCCCTGTGTCAGGCTCTGTGCTGACAGCTCAGAACCTGAAGCCTGCTTCGGATTCTGGGTCTCCCCCTCTCTCTGCCCCTCCCCCACTTGTGTTCTGTCTCTCTCTCTCAAAAATAAACAAACATAAAAAAAAAAAAAAGGGAAGAGAATCAGGTTCCCATCTCCAATCATAACCTATTGGGCTTGTCACCTGAATGTTCTATCATTACTTTAACTTGAACATGCCCCAACCTGAATGCCCCATCCCTTCCCTCTTCACACCTGTCATTCTGTAGATGCTAACATTTATTATTCTGTTTAAATATGCTAAGAACTGAAAAAGCTAAGAACTGAAAAATAGTGGGATTATTTTCAGTACAAGCCACCTTTTATGTATTTTTTTAAATGTTTATTTATTTATTTTGAGAGAGAGAGAGTGAGCAGGGGAGGGGCAGAGAGAGATGGAGAGAAAATCCCAAGCAGGCCCTGTGCTGTGAGTGCAGAGCCCCATGTGGGGCTCAAACCTAAACTCATGAACTGTGAGATCATGACCTGAGTCAGATGCTTAACCGACTGAGCCACTGAGATGCCCTCAGGCCATCTTTTCAAAAAAGTACAGGGACCAAAAATGAAGATGAAAAATTACTGGGGCTTGCATTTACTTTTGAGGCTCATTATGGAAATAAAAATTAAGAGGAAAACAACAGCTTTAGCCCCAAAGGGGGAAGGGCTAAATTTCAGAAAGACTGGATGAGACATGACAATTAAATGCAACGTATGATTTTTTTTTCCTTTTTGAAGTCTAGATTTTTAACCCTAAGGAGGATACTATTGGGATAATTGGGACTATTTGAATATGGACTGTATATCAGATAATACTAGTGCATTTATGTTAAATTTCCTGAGTGAGATACTTAATTCTATGGTTATGTGGGAGGCATGTCCTTCTTCTTAGGAAATAAATACATACGGGAGTATTTGGGGATGAAGTGTCACAGTGTCTATAATTCTTAAATGGTTCAGCAAAAAGTTAAGAATTAAAAAGCAGAACGAAAGATAACAAACGCAGTGAAATTCTACTCATAAATCTAAGTAAACAGCATATGGTGTTCGTGGCACTACTTCTAACTCTTCTCTATGTTTGAAAATTTTCAAAATAAAAAGTTGGGGAAAAGCTGTGACTGGTAGAGAAAATCACTCTTCTGATTCAAGGACTCTGTGTATGTGTGTAGGGTGATCATGGTTTAAATTTATATTTAGAAATTTGGGAGGTATGATCATTTAAGAAAGCAGATGTGATCACTGTCTATTTAAAACTAATAACAGTTTGAACTGTTCTAATGGGTGGAAGGCCATTCAGGAATGTTGCTTCCTGAAGGCAGGGGTTGCGTTAATCCTCTCTCCAAAGGCCTCCACCACTTGGCAGAAAACCCTGTGGGCTGGACACATGCTCCGTGAAGAAATTGGGCTGCACGTATTACTGGTATTACTGCCAGTAGCTATGTTCAGATATAGGCATGGCGCACTGGGTTCTCCGAGAGACTGGGTCTCCACCAGAGGTGGGAAGTAACACATTGCTCCTGCCAGTTGTCAAACTCTGTTCTAAGCTTTCACATACATCACCTCCCTTCCTCTGCTCAGCCTCCTGGGAGGTAGGAATAATCATTCCCAGCCACAAATCAGAAAACAAAGCTCATGAGTGACTAAGTTTTAGCCCCAAGTCATAAAACTGGGTTAAGTGTGGCAGCTGAGATTCAAAGCAGGTCTTTCCACACAGGAAACCTAAGAATTATTACAAAACTTGTTTCCCTGACTCCAAGCTGCCCTGACTGGAGCAGGATGCACAATCCTGGATAGTTTACATATTATCAACCTGGTTGTAGAGCCAAATTGTCATTTGCTACAAAGAAGCTGGAGGTTGTGTAATTCTGTACCCATTGAGTAGAGGGTTATCCAGCTTCCAGAGCTGGCCACGATGTTGTTGACACAAGTGAAGTCAAACAGTTTGGCTAAATTCTTTCCGGCTTGAGAGCACAGTATTCACAGCTCTGAGGGGCTCGGCTGTAGCAGCCGCAGTTCAGTAGAGGAATCCATTCCAAGATTGCTGTCTCACCTCTCTTTAAGCTGGCAACATCAGGGTTTTTGGTTTTGCTTTTCAGAAAGTGACTCAGGAAATAATTTCCTGAATTTCAATGATCTTGCTTCCTACTGCTGTTCCTCCAGGTCCAGCAGACTTTCACTTTTGCAATGTTCATTCCTTTCTTTTTAAAACTATTTGAAACTAGGGGCGCCTGGGTGGCTCAGTCGGTTAAGTGGCGGACTTCGGCTCAGGTCATGATCTCACCGTCCGTGAGTGCGTGAGTTCAAGCCCCGCATCGGGCTCTGTGCTGACACCTCAGAGCCTGGAGCCTGTTTCAGATTCTGTGTCTCCCTCTCTCTGACCCTCCCCTGTTCATGCTCTGTCTCTCTCTGTCTCAAAAAGAAATAAACATTAAAAAAAAATTTTTTTTTAACTATTTGAAACTAGATGTGGGTTTTGTTATCATTTTTTCTTTCCCAATGAAAGGCTTTATTTTTTTAAGTAACATTTTTATCAGATCAAAATTTATAACAAGAGCTGCTATTTATTGATATGGCAGAAATTGTACTAAGTGATTTATAAGTATTATACCATTTGCTTCCTGCAACAACCTCATGGGTAGGTATTCTTCTGAGGGGAAACGAAGGCCCCTCAGAGGGGAAACTTGCCCAGGCCTCTCAACTACTAGGTGGCAAAGGTGGGGCTGGGACTGGAATTCAGATCTAGCTAACAGCAGAGTCCATATTCTTCTTCTTCTTCTTCTTCTTCTTCTTCTTCTTCTTCTTCTTCTTCTTCTCTTTTTTATGAGAGAGAGCACAAGCAGGGGAGAGGAGCAGAGGGGAGAGAGAAAGAAAGAGAGAAAGAGAGAGAGAGAGGGAGAGAAAGAGGGAGAGGGAGGGGATTGGAGGGAGAGAGGGAGATGGGGGGAGAGAGAGAGAGAGAGAGAGAGAGAGAGAGAGAGAATCTTAATCAGGCTCCACACTCAGTGCAGATCCCGACATGGGGCTTGATCCCATCACCCTGAGATCATGATCTGAGCTGAAATCAAGAGTTGGATGCTCAACCCACTGAGCCACCCAGGTGTCCCAGAGTCCATATTCCTAATTACAGCTGCCTCTAAACTATAAAAACATATGTGTTTATTGTAAAACTATTTGGATAACACAGAAAGTCTGAAGAAGAAATAAATTCCCTTGAGATCCCATCTACCGAAATAAATCACCAGTAACATTGTCTTCAACCTTTCTCTCTGCATATATATCTTTAGCATACACACAATGTATATATTTTCATACAATGCTAAATGAAAAGCAGGAAAAAAATGAAAAAAAACAAAAAACAAAAAACAAAGCAAAGTAGGAAGGGGCGCCTGGGTGGCTCAGTTGGTTCAGCATCTGACTCTTGATTTCAGCTCAAGTCATGATTTTGCGGTTTGTGGGTTCCAGCTCCTTATCAAGCTCTGTTCTGACAGCTCAGAGCCTGCTTGAGATACTCTCTCTCCCCCTCTGTCTGCATCCCCCCCCCCCCTCACTCTCTCTATCAAAAAGAAATAAACAGTAAAAAAAAAAAAAAAGCAGGAAACAAAACTACGCTGAATAATTCCTTCTAAAAAAAAATCAATATATAGGACTCTTACTCCACATTCATCATGTTTTTTAATCTAACATGATGTAATGAGTATTTTCTAATATCATTAAATATTACTCAGAAACAATTTTTAATGGCCATATTTCATTATGTAAATTTCCTATCATTTAGTCTTTATGTTGATACCTTTCCTTCTATCATAAATAAAAGTGTGGTGAACATCTACATATATTTTTGTTCTATTCTTTTCTTTATTCTTTTTTTATTTTTTTTAATGTTTATTTATTATTGAGAGAGAGAGTGCATGAGCATGGGAGGGAGAGACAGAGAGAGGAGGAGACACAGAATCCGAAGAAGGCTCCAGGATCTGAGGTGTCAGCACAGAGCCCGACACGGGGCTCGAAGTCACAAACCGCGAGATCATGACCTGATTCGAAGTCAGACGCTCAACCGACTGAGCCACCCAGGTACCCCACATTTTTGTTCTATTCTTATGAATGATCAAATATGTATTGAAGTCCTAGTATGTGCTACCTACCATGCTAGGTGTAAGACAGACAATGGTGAGGAAAAGAGCCATGATCTCGTCCTTCAGGGAGTTAGCAATCTAGTGAAAGAGTCTTATCCACATTAATCCACCGAACACACAAAAAATTATAAATACATACTGTGATAAAAAGGAAAGGCACATGTTGCTGAGAGAATGTACCAAAAGAGAGATCTGCCCTAGTCTAGGGGATTACAGGAAATCTGTCCAATGAAGTAATAATGGGCTTGAGATCTGAATGAAAAGTAGGAGTTAGCTGAGCAAGGATGCTGGACAATAGCATTCTAGGCAGTGGAACAGTAAATGCAAAGGTCCTGTAACAGGAAGCAGCACAGGGCACTTGAGGAACAGTCAGCATTGTTGGAGTAGATGTAGCCCAGAAAGCAAGAGGGTATAGGAGTTAGAGAGGTGGGGGAGATAGCAAAAGGGTGAGGGTTGGTCCCTGCAGGCCTCATTGAAGATCTTGAGCTTTATCCTAAAATGTGAAGAGAATGAAGGGTTGTCAACAGGATGAACTCTGAGTTGAGAAAGGTCCCTCTGCTTGCATGGAGGACATGCAGGAGATGGGGCAAGACCGTGAGGAATCTTAACTGTCATCTTGCTGAGAGATGATAGCAGCCTCGGCCAGGGACACAGGAAGAGGTAAACAAATCCTCCAGATCTTTTAGAAGATAAGATTTAGAGAACTGGTGATGGACTGGTTAAGGAAGTGTGAGGGAGAAGGAGGTGTAGGACTGCTCCCTGGTTTCTGACTTGCAGAACCAGAGGCACACTCCCTCAATCAGGAATACTGGCAAAAAAGCAAGTTTGTGGGAGGTCATACAATCATGAAGCTGGGTTAGGAAATCTTTTTCTTCTTTTGTAAAGAACCAGTTTTGGGGCGCCTGGGTGGCTCAGTCAGTTAAATGTCTGACCTCGGCTCAGGTCATGATCTTATAACTCATGAGTTCAAGTCCCACATCGGGCTCTGTGCTGGCAGCTCAGAGCCTGGAACCTGCTTCAGATTCTGTGTCTCCCTCCCTCTTTGCCTCTCCTCAGCTTATGCTCTCTCTGTATCTAAAATAAATAAACATTAAGAGAAATAATTTTTATAATCTTGGTTTAATGGAAAATTTTCAATTTAGGAGTTTAATTTCCATATATTTAGGCATTTCCTAAATTACTTGCCATTATTAATTTCTAATTTCACTCCATTGTGATCAGGGAACATATTTTGTTTCAACCCACTGATTCAAACCAGAAAGGCAAAGACAATTTTTATTTTGTTTACCCTTTAATCTTCCAGGACTCAGCATGTCACATGGTGGCAGTTAATAGAAGAACCAAAGTATCATCCTACAGATTAGTTTACTGGTCATAGGGGAAACACAACTTTGTAAAGGATCAGACTGATCAATCATGGCTTCACTATCAGTGGGAAAACCAGATATTGTGTGCACCTGATGTGACACAGTATGAAGGACACAGAATCACCTAGGAAGTATCCTACCAAAAATGTTTAGTCTGAACCTAACCAAACTTTTGGTTCAAGTTTATTTATTTATTTTGAGAGAGAGAAAGAGAGAGAGAGAGACAGAACATTTGTACATGCACAATTGGGGGAGGTGCAGAGAGAGAGAGAGAATCTCAAGCAGGCTCCATACTGTCAGTGCAGAGCCAGACATGGGGCTGGTACCCACAAACCATGAGATCATGACCTGAGCCAAAATTAAAAGCCAGATGCTTAACCACCTGAGCCACCCAGGTGTCCCTAACCAACCTTTTAGATCTAACTGTCAGCTTACAGGAAATGCATGGAATAGAGGAACAAAGGAAATGACATTACAAGGAAACCATCAGACTAATCCAGAAGGTGGGACGTTCTACAGTACATACAGAATTTCATCAAGAAGTCAGTGGCATCTGGAAAACAGTGTGGAGGTTCTTCAAAAAATTAAAAATAGACCTACCCTATGACCCAGCAATAGCACTGCTAGGAATTTACCCAAGGGATACAGGAGTACTGATGCATAGGGGCACTTGTACCCCAATGTTTATAGCAGCACTCTCAACAATAGCCAAATTATGGAAAGAGCCTAAATGTCCATCAACTGATGAATGGATAAAGAAATTGTGGTTTATATACACAATGGAGTACTACATGGCAATGAGAAAGAACGAAATATGGCTCTTTGTAGCAACGTGGATGGAACTGGAGAGTGTGATGCTAAGTGAAATAAGCCATACAGAGAAAGACAGATACCATATGGTTTCACTCTTATGTGGATCCTGAGAAACTTAACAGAAACCCATGGGGGAGGGGAAGAAAAAAAAAAAAAAGAGGTTAGAGTGGAAGAGAGCCAAAGCATAACAGACTCTTAAAAACTGAGAACAAACTGAGGGTTGATGGGGGGTGGGAGGGAGGGGTGGGTGGGTGATGGGTATTGAGGAGGGCACCTTTTGGGATGAGCACTGGGTGTTGTATGGAAACCAATTTGACAATAAACTTCATATATTGAAAAATAAATAAATAAACTCTCTGACAAAGAAAAAAAAGTCAGTGGCATTAAAAAAAAAGGTTTCTTGGAGACTGTTCGCGATTATGAGAAGCTTAAGAAGAATAAAAGCCAAATGTAACATGGACTTTGTTGGATAGTGGTTCAAATACATAAGCTATAAAAAGACATTTTGGGGGCTCCTGGGTGGCTTAGTCAGTTAAGCACCCAACTATTTCAGCTCAAGTCATGATCCCATGGTTTGTGAGATCGAGCTCCATGTCAGCGTCTGTGATGAACTTGGAACCTGTTTGGGACTGTTTCTCTCTCTGCCCCTCCCCTGCTCATACTCTCTCTCTCACACACACAATAAATTTAAAAACTTAAAAAAAAAAAAAGACATTTTGGAGGGGCGCCTGGGTGGCTCAGTTGGTTAAGCAACTGACTTCAGCTCAGGTCATGATCTCATGGTTTGTGGGTTCAAGCCCCACGTCGGTCTCTGTGCTGACAGCTCAGAGCCTGGAGCCTGCTTTGGATTCTGTGTCTCCCTCTTTCTGCCCCTCCCCCACTTGCGCTCTGTCTTCTCTCTCAAAAATAAATAAAATGTAAAAGAAATAAAATAAAAAGACATTTTGGTGATAGTTGGGAAAATTCAACTATATATCAGGTATTAGATTATATTAAGAAACAATTTTTTAGGTGTGATAATAGTCTTTTTTTTCATTTTTTAAAATGTTTATTTAAGAGAGAAAGAGAGAGAACATGAGCAGGGGAGGGGCAGAGAGAGAGGGAGACACAGAATCCGAAGCTCTGAGCTGTCAGGAAAGAGCCCGATGTGGGGTTCAAACCCATGAACTGCAAGATCATGACCTAAGACGAAGTCAGATGCTTAACTGACTGAGCCTCCCAGGTACCCCAATAATGGTCTCTTTTTGATACATAGTCAGGTCCAGGCCCAGTAGGACTCAAGAAGCAGACTTAGGTGCCTGCAAGACCAAGAGTAGTCATAATATCTCTGGATTTATCTCAGCAGTGAGGAGAAAACCTCTGCTCCAAGAATATAGCTGGATAAGTAGTGGCTGCTAAGGGTCTGATGTCTAAAAGTTATAAATGGCAGGCCTGGAATTCATAAAAATTCCGGTAAGCCCAATAGTTTCTTAGAAAGCTGGTGGATATCACTGGAGTGAG